ATATATAATGTTTATATACATTCTATTTCCTGTAGAACGATTTATTAATTTTAGAATAATTACTTTTATGCAATTATAATTATTAGCCAAATGAACTATTACTGCTATTAGTGCAATTCGAGGTTCATTTTCTATGTTTATTTTAACCTGTGAGTAGGTAAAAAAAAAAACAAAGTTATAACAGGAATTCCGTGTAGACTTAACGCAGTTGCGAAAACATCCGTCGCTCGATAGAGGAGGAACTGATTAATAATTAAGGAGTCCCGCGTAGTCTTTTCTCTCCGAATCTTTGAAACAACGAACAACGATCCGGGCAAGTTTCAGCGAACTTCCCCTCGGCGGAAGCGTCGCGAATCGCAAAACTCGTTCCACCCCTCGCGTACGAACACTTCGAAATTATTAACAGGATGTAAAGAAAATTAGAAATTTTGAAACGTAATGAACAAACATATCGGGTTTGTATTTTATTTTTCAATAAGCACGTATCATCGGAGAACATGTCTTGCTTTTGACGTGCTTTATTGCACGCTGGAATAGACTATCGACGAGTAGACGGCGAGCCAACTTGTTTCTCTTGACGATATAAAAAGCAGAAGCTGGCTTCTCCTTCGAGACTGTGCTTGAGTTTACGTGTAATGTACCTGCGATCGGGGGATCAGTATTTTTCTGATCATATTGTCAATATTTCCTTTACAAAGGCGCTTAAATCAGGAGATCATAAAAGAGACGTACACATTCCTTTTGCCTAAGAAGATTTATGAAAATGAGGTCGGCAACCATACACTGCTTGTTACAACTGAAAATGTCATCTTTTATTAATTCGTTTTGTTTCCTGTTAATTAAAACAATTTTTCTTATTATAATTTTCGATTTAAGATTAGAATCGAATTCTAGAGTAGATCTGTTCACTTTGGGATTAACATAGTGATTATTGTGTGATCAGGCTTATTCAAGAGAGCCATCCTATTATCGGGAAGTGCCCTTTCGTCGTGGGCAGTGGTCGAGGATCCTGTTTCGTACGCGTTGAAACTGGCCAAGGCCGTCAACTGCTCAATACCTGAGGATCTACTCAAGGACAATGAGCTGATAGTCGACTGTCTTCGAGAACGGGGTCTCGAGGAGTTGATGCAGGTCGACATTCAGCCACCGACGTTCTTAAGCGCTTTCGGACCCAGCGTCGACGGTGTCGTCATCAAGCCTGACTTTCAAAAAGATCTGCTCTCCTACATGGGTCCGGAGTTCCAAGGATTCGGGTAAGAATTAGAGAAAATAAAAAAATTTATACATTAATCAATCGCAATAAATACAAATTGTACAACTAAATAATTTATGCATATGAATATCTCAAAGAAATTATTAAGTGAAAGATTGAAATGAAAATAGATCTTTTGTTTTAATTAATATAAGTGAGTAACGAGAATTTTCTGAAATGTCCTTACGAGGTATCGATACCAATTTCCATCCGTGAAAGGAACCGACGTAACATCTTCGTTTAGGAACTTTATCAGGACGGCCCTCATTAAATGTAAAGCAGATGCAGAACCGGCTCAAACCACCGTGGACATTAGTGCGGTTCATTAACGAGATTGTAAATGACCCGGGCTTGTTCTACAAAGTCCATTAGCATATTCGACTCCCCCTGCCCCGCACTAGTTACAACGGTGTCGTGGAACCAATCTCCTAAGTATTTGCAATTATTTTTTTTTGTAAGGCGTCCGTCGTCCCAACAAATTCTTTAACACTCGCAAAAACATTTTTAATATTAAGAAAACAGTTGAAGAGGAGATTGAAAAATATTTTTTAGAGAAGCAAGTCGAATTTGGAATTTTATTTCAGGCCACTGCCAAAGAAAGCCGAACACGGAGCTCCAATCACGAGCAACAACAAGTACGATTTATTATTTGGCGTGACGACCAGCGAAGCGCTGTGGAAGTTCGCCGAGAAGGATGTACAGCAGGGTTTCGAGGGCGAGAGGAGAGACAGGATCATCAGGACGTACGTGAGAAACGCGTACGAGTACCACCTGACAGAAATATTCTACACGGTAAATTCTCTGAAATTATTAAATAAATTACATACATTTTTCTTAATCCTTGTTATCCATGAAAAAATCATTACTGTGTAACTGAATACGAAATTAACGGCACGAGTAAGGTCAGAGTACGGGAATAATTGTGATATCAATTCGATATGCACACGCGAGCATTACTCTTGATTTAAAAACGCGAATCAGCCATTCGCGACTCTCCCTCCGGTTACATTCTTCGACTTGTATATTAATTACCCGATCGCAATCGGGTAGTAAACATAAAAAATTCTGATGACCAAACTGGCTAATGAAAAGCATTTCGAGCATCACGCGATCGAGCGTTTAACGGCGCCGGTGCTCGTTCGCCGCTCGTACATTCCGTTAAGCCAACGATTCCGAAGATTATTTCGTTGCATAGCGTTTTCATAATGCTCTCTGGGAATAATTCTCGTTGCCGGCGTGCACCGGGATTTAAAAATATATCACTATAATTATCTGTGATCATAAAGCGTTATCTAATTGGCCGGTTGAACGATCCGTTAATTGTTCAATATAATTCTCGCATCGTATAAGTTCCTCGATGTTTAAATTCCAGTCTGGAAAATAGCGGGCAGTTTCCGATTCCATTAATACTCTCGCGTGTTTTCACAGAAAATTTCGTTCACACTCCAGGCGAACCGTTCCTTTTTCGGCAAATCGAATTATTCAGTCGCGAAAAAGTGAACACGCTCCCGTTTATTATTATATTCGCCTGTTTTTTTCGAATCTGCAGTAAAAGAATGAAATATCGTTTTGTCCATCGGCGTTGTTATTACTGTGAAAGTGTTTCCGAGTCGGTCTGCGACAGTTATAGATTTTAGTGAGACCGATGAAAATAACAGTGTTCCGCGATGCGAAAAGTAACGAACGGGTTGTTAACGATTTCATTTTTATTATTTCGATTAAAGTCCGTTGCGAATTTGCGAAAATCGTGGCGAGTGAGAGAGAGAGACGTTTATTCGATTTGATATTTTATTGATCAAGGTGGTGAACGAGTACACGGACTGGGAGCGCACGGTGCAGCACCCGATAAACACAAAGGACGCCTGCGTTCAGGCGTTGAGCGACGCCCAATTCGTAGCGCCATTAGTGCAAGCCGGGGATTTGTTCACTTTGAGGCACACGAAGGAGCCGAACAACCCGCACATCGCGCCTGTACCGGAAACTGACAAAGAGCCGATGCCTAAGACGTATTTCTACGTGTTCGACTACCAAATGAAAGAGGGCGACTATCCACAAGTAAGTGATCCTATTTTACATGGTTTCGAGAAGTTCTACGACCCGCCCGATGACCATCGATCGACGGTGGACGAACGGGTTGTAAATCGGGTAACGTGGAATTATGGATGTTCTCCTTTCCGGGATTAAATCCCGAGACGCGAAGACGAAATTGTTTTTTTACCGACTGATCAAAGAACAACGGAACTAAACGTGGCGTGGTTCATGAATAGCAACGAGATTCCTTGGGAGGTTCATTATTTCCCGGGCGAGATACTACGTGGAAATTCGCGGTGAATTTATCCAGCTATATTTTTCGCGTCGCGTTATCAGCAAACCGGGATACCTTATCGACGTACTCCGCGCACATCCACCGGTCTGATTATAAACTATTTAACGGGGCATTATAAAGTGCGCGATTTCACGAGATAATTAGATTCGAGGCGCATCTGCGCTCACACCGTGGATAAATTAAACCCGTGAAACGCCATTAATAACCCGATCGCTAAACCGTTTCCATCTCGCGATCTACAAGATAAATCCAACGTTCAGCAAAATAATCATCCCCCCCACTGTCTCAGGTATAATTAAATCGTCCCGTGTTCTCTGTCGTACAGTAAACAGAATTCGAAAGAGCTGTATTATTCGGGGAACTTCGAAGCGTGTAACTAAGGTCGCTGCGAAATTTAATATGCCGCGCGTTGACGTCGCGCTCGCGAAAGAATCCAGCAAATTATCCCGCGAGCTCGTCCGTCTCATTCCTCGAGATATGAAAAAATCCTCGTTCTCTCGCGAGCGGCACCGCTCTCGTCGCTGCACCGTTTCGACGAGATAAAGCGCGCGGCTACGATGGCGACGATGGACGATGAAATAGTTCCGCGAGCCTGGGATTTTATCGCGACAAACAGATCCCCAGAGAGGAAGATATCTTGGAGACCTTGGTTAACGTTCGCGGTTATGGAAATTTGTTGGGGCCGTGTTTGCGAAGGGAAATTTACCACGTTTTTTTTTTTTGTCCGAAAGCAATTCCACTGGAAATTACGCTTTTCCTCTGTCGTTAATAAGTCCCATCTGCTCGCTAATTCACGTACACTCTGAAACAAGACGCCAACATTTGTGAACGAGTTAAACTGCTGGTTTAAGATGAGTCAATTAATAAATACGCATTATTATTATTATTATTATTATTCTTATTATTATTATTGCAATTTTTAATTGGAGCTTTGGACAAACGTGTTATTTCTCTGGTTTCACTCATCTTTTATTCACGTTGAGATAAACGTTGCCTGTTCGATATATACCCTGGAATCTTTATCTCTTTAACGTTTCCTGGCACGATCCAGTCGTGCTTGACGTGCTTTAGCAGCTCGAGCAGCTGCAAGATACGCCCTTAGTTTAATAAATTATTTCCCCAGTAATGAAATTCAATTCTCAGCCAGATGAAATCAATACAACTTGGTTCAGACAAGAATTGTTAACATACGTAACTGTCCCGAGCTTATTCACTCTCTTATTTAGTCGAATCGATTTTTTAATCAACACTGTAATGACAGACGTAATTAAACGCCAGAAGCTCGGATCATTTTTCCAGAACTGTGAACTGGCAGGTATAAACGATGCTGGAAAAATGTATTTATTCGAGCTAAACTTAATTTAGTCTGAACTCGTTCCAAGTGACTGTTCCAATTTCCGATTCGATCTTTATTCATTGTCGCTTTTTAATGACATCGAAATTACCAGATTAATACTACTTTTAATAAATTAAAAATAAAGGATCATTATATAAAATATTGTTAGTCTAACAATTTCGATTATTATTGTTAGTCTAACATTTTCAATTATATAAAGATAATTCATAGTTTATGCAAAAGCGCGTTACGCGTGTCGCTTGAAAGGCTTCGGAGTGCCGTAGGATCAATGGAATTTCGTTTCGCGAATCAAAAGGGGGAATCGACACGAAAGATAGATACCGGTCGGCCCTTTTGAGATACGGGCCAGATTTATAACGGGTGGGTAACGAATTTTACCGTGGCGAAGATTTCCCTGCGATCCGGTGACGAGATTACCGGCTGATAAACGGCACGGCTGCCGCGCATTTCTGCAACACCAGCACCGGATCCTTCCCTCCGATGTCGATACTCGCAAAGTACTCGGCTCGTTTAAATTCAATGCATTATTAATCGTTTTAACTGCTACGTAAACAAAAAAATTTTTATAGTCTTTTTCTATGGAGGGCACGAAATGTTTGTTAGGAAGAATTCAGTGAAATTCGAGTCTCGGATAATAATTAGGTCGCAGCAAAATGTAAATGACATAGTAACAGGTTAATAAATTGAGCGGAGCATTTCATAACGGAGATTGCACCCGGTTGTCAGCGGTCGGCACCTGCGTCAGATAGCCATTCAAAAACAAATGCGACAACGGGAACGGCCTCGACCGTAATTTTCATGGACAGTTTGTCAAAAAAAAAAAAAAAGAAAAATTAAAAATAATATTAAACATTCATGCGACATTTTGCATATGATAATTGCCCGTGCCGTCGTTGTTTGTATTTCTATACGCAATAATCCATGCGCCGTGTCCAGCGCATTGTGTAAATCCCGAAGTTTGTTGATCAAACTTCATCTCCCGATTCTCACCGGTCCTCCCGGGGGAAAATGAAAATTCTGGATAACTCGAATAGGCAAGGTTTCATTAAAACCTCAAAAAGATTTTGCAAATTTTGCAGTAAATATTATCGGCATTTATGAAAGTATACTTGAACCATTCGTGGTGTTAAGAATCTTGTTCTACTGTCGTTTGGTTAAACGAAATGGTGTAGACTTTCGATCGGGCGAAGTGTGAACAACAATTACCGCTGGACGAGTATAATTACGTAGCGTAATTGATTAATGATTGCGAAGCACGTGACCGCGCGATAAATCTGTTTAATTAATAGGGATATAAAGTACCATTTATGTAACCATTGTATAGCGAGATCATATTTAACTAAGGACTTCTGCTAATTATGTGTATTCACTCTTGAATTACGAATATCAGATTAAGAATATAAAACGGATACACGTGTTTATGAATAGACGCTTGGCGTAGTTCATAAATGAATCTCATTTAATAACTATCCGAATCGGTGAATTTACGATCGTCATTACGTTCGGGTAATTAAGTTTTAAATAGATTTCATTGGGAAGGTTATCAATTGTGCGAACGCTGCGTGGCCAGCAGAAATTATGCTTTCTCCTATTTATTAACGCTACATTTACTGTTTTCTCATTCGAACGGAACGAGTGATCAATGTGGCAATAGGAAAGACTACTGTGGATATATATATTTTTTTTTAACACGACCAGATGAATTTTTCGTCCGACTGGAATTGCGTGATGGGCAAATTATCGTTTCGAACGAAAAGAATGTACC